GTTGGGCGCGTAAACACTAATCAGGTTTATCCTAAATAAAGCCTTCTAGTGTGGCTTTGGCTGCTGACCTTGGTCCACTAGCCCTATTTTTGAAACCTGTAGCGACCAGTCTGGGAAACCGGCTTGACAGTGACCTGCTTCTGGAAAAGCAAATCAGTGCCGTCACCAAAGCCAGTTTTTATCAGTTAAGGAGGATCGCCAAGGTTAAGCGTCTTCTCTCAAGTCATGACTTTGAGACGGTGATTCACACGTTTATTACATCACGTCTAGACTATTGCAACGCACTGTACCTTGGTCTTCCTCAGTCTCACCTCTCCCGTCTTCAAATGGTGCAAAATGCAGCAGCACGCCTATTGACGAGTTCGAGAAAGAGGGAGCACGTTACCCCAATTTTAGCTTCGCTGCACTGGCTGCCTGTGGATTTTAGGGTCCAGTACAAGGTTCTTTTATTGGCTTTTAGAGCTGTACATGGCCTTGCTCCGCAGTATCTGTGTGAGCTTTTAGTTACTCACTCCCCGTCTCGGTCACTGAGGTCAGCCGACCTGTTTCTCCTGGAGGTGCCGAGAGCAAAGAGAAAGCTCAGGGGTGATGGAGCTTTCTCAGCAGCAGCTCCAAGGTTGTGGAATGCACTCCCAATCCAGATTAGGATGGTTTCCTCATCGTCGGGTTTTAAATCGCTTTTAAAGACTCATCTGTTCTCAGTTGCTTTTAACTCAGTTTGAGAAAGCGTCTGTTTTAGTAGCTTTTATGTCAGTTTGATATGTTTGTTTTTGTCATGTTTTTACTTTGTGATGAAATTTTTATCTTGTTTTTAGAATTTTTAGGGAACTTCTGTTTTTTTTTTTGGCTTGTTAAGCACTTTGGTCAGCTTTTATGCTGTTGTAAAGTGCTTTATACATAAAGTTGACTTGACATAGGACCCTACCCTGCACTACGGTCATTACTGATATAATATTTATCGTCAATTTAGGGGAAATTAAAGTAGCTACACCTGCACGTGTGTTTGTGCCATGATTTAGGAAGCATTGACCTTTCCACCCCAGCCTCCAGTCTAAATGGTTTTTAGCATCACTGTGTGTTTCTCGTAGGAAAATAACATCCAACTTTTTATCTCTAAAGACTTCCTTAATCAAGGCTCTTTTCTGTGGATCCCTCCCCCCATTTATGTTCAAGGATGCAACTCTCATGCCGTTCATACACCAGGAAGATGAGAGAATAGCCCAGATCACAGCAGAAAAAGAGGCACCCAGTGACTCCCATTCATAAGGGTCCTATTTTATAATCTTCCCTTTCTTCCCCACTGTAGTCCACCCTAAACTTTTTTAAGCTCAAAACATGTTTCTTTAAACGGTAACGTTTCTTTTCATCTAAACGATCCAGGCCCACCTCTTTCTGCAGTGTGGCGGCCGACCTGATGAACTTTACCGCATCAGGAACATATTGCTGTACGTCCGTACGGTTCATCCAGAAACTCACTGACCTCCTCCAGAGAGTACAAGCTGTCCTCCAGCAACTCTCTGTCTGCTACCAAAACATTGTCTGAGTCCGAATCACACTCATTAACCACATCATTTACAGAATCGCCATGGCAACCAGCAGCAGGAAGCCCCGCCCCCTCCGCTTCGCTCTCTGGTTCCGCCTGCCTCTGCTCAGGAACCTGTGCATCCTGACAGTCTAGCCGTCCGCTGTTAGTTACTGACTGTATTCCTGCCTTTTGGCCTGCTTCTACCTGATCCTCTAGGCCTTCCTCTGGTAAATGACTGAAGAGGCAGACACCAGTCGGCTGTAGGCCTCCATGTTCCGCCTGTTCTGGCTGCTGCTCCACTGGGTCAGAGCCAGTACCGGCCTTCGTTCCGTCCAGAACTGAAAAACTGTCGGCCATTGTTTCTGTCTCTGCTGCGCCCTCACTCTCTCCCTGCAGGCCACCGGCGGTCACGGCGTCACTCACGGTGACACCGGGCCCGATCCCCGCCTGAAGAGAAGGGAGCGCGGGTTCTGCCCCGGTCTCCACTCCTGGTCCTGCTACATTTTGTCGGTGGGGACAAGCTACACGCTTGTGACCCACACCTCCACACTCAGAACATTTCATCACACCAGAACTAGCATACACCATGTAATACCCTTCCTCATGCTTCACTCTGAATGAGACGTGCAGCATTTGGGATGGAGAGTCTAAGTACATGAACACCTGCCTCCGCAAGGACTGGACATGTCTCAGTTTAGCGTTTTTACACCCCAGGCTCACCGTACGGAATCCACTCGCCATTCTCCCAAAACGCCTGAGCTCCCGCTCCAGAGCAGAGTCAGGAACAAAGGGAGGAACTCCTGACACGGTGATGCGGGTAGACGGTAGCGCTAACGGAGAAAATTGTAAAAACTCACCACTTACATGAATCCCGTTCTGCACAAGCTGCCCCTCCTGCTCCTGACTCGAGAAACACCACGAGCCCTTTGTTCATGCGCGAGGCAAACAGAATGTTTCCATGTCCCACCTGGTCTCCAACCGCCAACAGCACCTGTTCCACCGGAGTGGAGGGCGGAGGCTCGGCTCTCGCCCCGTGTCTCAAAGACAGGGATGGCGTTGCCTGAGACACCATCCCGGCACGGAAGCACCGCAACAAAACCACACACAACCTCCAAACAACAAGGAAAGCAAGGAAAGTTGAAAAAAGTTATCTGAAGAACTTTTCCACCTCCATAAAGCAAACTTTATCCACCACTCTCACGACCCTCACCACCACATCGTGCCGCTCTCAGACAAAACTGCGCGCGAGAGAGAGAGAGAGAGAGAGAGAGAGAGAGACAGAGAGAGAGAGACAGAGAGAGAGAGAGAGAGAGAGACAGAGAGAGAGAGAGAGAGAGAGAGAGAGAGAGAGAGAGAGAGAGAGAGAGAGAGAGCGCTCAGGCGCTCCCACAAGAGAGAGGATGAGCCCAGAAGCGCCTGTTTCAGCACGGATGATTCAGCCAGAGGACAAAGGACTTCAGACAACAGGACTTGGGGCCTGATTTGTGCACATCTCTCCTCTGATTGGCTAACAGCAACACAACACTACCACTGACTCTGTCTGCTCTTCTATGTTGATGTTTTATGTCCACTAATACAAGCCTGGAGGAGTTCTGCTGTGTGTTGTTGTTACCAATGCTAATGGTTAGCTTCTACTAGCTGAGACGTTCGCTGATGTTTCCTGGACGCTAAACCAACAACAGTCTTCCCCGTCGTGAGTCCAGATGGGTGAGTCCATGAATGTTAGTGACAGTGTGACATAGATCTGTCAGGATTTTCTATCCTAGAGTTTCACCGTCTGTTTTCTATCAGAAGCTACTGCAGGAGATAGGTGTAGGAGACTATCTTCACGTTCAGCCTGCATGAAACACTCAGAATGACCCATTAGAATCAGAAATAATGATTAAAAATTATTTCAGTGAACCACACCTTAAAACTGATAAGTATCTGTTTTCATTTAAATGCTCCGTTTGATCATTTGCTTGTCCAGGCCTGTACGCTGCACAGCTGTAAGACTTGTTAGAAGAAGCAGATGTGCAGCAAATCATGTCCTCGAATAAAAAGTCACCAACAGTATCTTGAAATAGATTCCAACGAAAACCCACTTTGCCATCTGCTTCTCCCTGGAATGAGATTTTTCCATGTTTACCGAGATTGTTCTGTCAGAGGTGAATACAGAACACCGGTGAAAACTGTTCACAGAGCGGGGGCATGAGTGGAGGAAGAGTCCGAGTCCAATCACAGCTGCAGATTCACCCTCTCACCCGTGATTGTGATGCAGCTGCAGGAGCAGCTTAGAGGCCTTGCTGACCGGTGTTGCACACCAAATTGTAATCAGCTACATAAAGACATCTGGTTCTGGATGAGAAGAGAAATCCAGGCTTGGAATGTTATGTTGGCTTGTATGGGTCGGGTCTGACATCATAAAGCTCAGAGTATATTTTTCTGATCTCGCTTAAAACAATCACACGTTTGGATCCTGAAATACCAAATTTACACAAACTCTATATGAACTCTGAATCTGACTTCTGTCACAGCTTCAAGATGCTGCTCGCCCTGTAAGTGCATTACACGCCTGTAGATTGGACATCTGTGTGCTGTAGATTACAGACGTGCGTATCTGTCGACCTGACATCGAGCTTTTAGGGGGTTTGAAAAGGAGTCACATTGGACCTTGTTGAAAGTGGCATTCCCAGCGAGTGGTGCTGCCGACGATAACCCAGAGCTCATATCAGAGAGCCGAGGATCAAACCGCTACGGAGCCAGCCGAGGTAATCTGTCACAGCAAGGCAGCGGCTGGGACGGCTGGTGGTCCACCACTGATGTCCAAAACAACAAGGTACCAACATGCATGCCTCGTCACAGGTAAACAAGCTAACCCACACACGTGTTTCTCTATAACGCGTCACAGAACCAAAAAGTCAGCTGAACAACATTTTATAAGTTATGTTTAATAGATGCTCACTGCCTTCGTGCATTCACATTTACTCAGACGCAAACAGGACCTGCAGGAAATCTACCCGACGACAGCAAATTCACTTCTTAGGTCAGTCTAAAGCACTCGGAGGCAGCGGCTATGGGAATAACGGAGGAAGACGAGTGAAAATGGGCAGAATGAGAACAAATGGAAGATTTGCTGAGGATTCATCGAGTTTGAGATCACGGGAAGAAGGTGAGCAGGTCTCTGCAGACTTAAACCACCATCACATGGGTGTGTGTTGTGACAACATTAGTAAAACTCAGACATTTATGTGAAACTGTCCTGCAAATATGTCAGCGTCTTCCTCTCTAGCTCAACTAAAACATGCATCCATGTGTAAATAAAACAGGAAGGACTTGTCTGGACTCCAGAAGCCCAACGTTTAGGCAAAGAAATGAAACTCAGTCGTTGAAAGGATAGATGTTGAAAACGTCAAATGAATGGATGAGTCAATATTGTAAATGATCTAATGTCAAGGGTTGTGTATTTGTAATCCTTACAGGATGAGAAACTCACCCACACACGTGCCGCCAACCTCCTGATACCCGACACTGCAAACACACTTTCCCAGTGGAACCAACCAGGCTCCGTCCACGCCACAGAAGAGTTTGGGGGTTTCCTTTTCTTCAGCATGATCGATGCATGCACCCCTCACCTCCACAAGGGAGGTCGAGTCCACACGAGGGACGGTGTCAGGAAACGAGGCCAGGTTGATCAGAGTGAACGGACATTTCTTGTAGTAGACCCTCACTGAAACCAATGCAATGCAGGCGCCGATGTCCTGGAACGCCAGATAAAAGCCCTTCCTGGATATGGGTCCCACCTCACGCACCTCTGTGTTGAGCTTGAGAATGCGATCTCCCAGATCCATCTGGGTGAAGCTCTCGTCGGCAGCAATGGTGTCGATCTTCGTGAATAGTGGGGGCTTAAACTTGATCCCGTGAGCGTCATCGGTCTCGTGGTAGAACAGGTTGAAGGTCTCTTTGCAGGTTCCAGAAACCCAGGGGATGGAGTTGCAGTCGCGCAAAGTGAAGCGAAGCTCCACGTAGATCCTGTGGGCAGCCTGTCGAGGAATCCAGTTGGAGTGAAGCCAGTTGTTCTGGTTGGGTTCCATCACGTTGCAGACCTGGAAAGTATGGATGGGCCGATTGTGCTCATCCATCACTGTGATGGCGTCCCACTAAAGGAGAAATGACAAGAAGGCGGAGAGCAAGTCAGATGACAGAGGAGAGAAACAGGAGAGAAGAAATGATTGGGAAACGAGTAAATAAAAACATAATTTCTATTTTTTAATTGTGGAAACATTTAATAGAAGTACAGCTTCAAAAGTTAGCCCTAGATTTTATTTTGGTCAAAGTAAAATGATTTTTCCCTGATCTAGGTTGAGTACCTCCTCTCGGTAGGATCTCTGCCTTCAGGTGCCAAGTCATCAGCTCTGCAACTCCTGGGTCACATGATAAGGAGCGCAGCAGCTTTGCAGGGTCATTAGGTTACCTGTCCCCGTGTTGATGGGAGAGAAGTTAATGGGGGTTTTTAGCCTCCCGGTATTGCATTGTTCTCTGGTTTTATTAGAGTGGGGACTTGCTCCAAGGGTGACCCTTAAACCACCAAGCATCCACCTCCAAAAATCAAATTACCTGCCTGGGAATAGGGGCTCTCACATCACTTCGCTCGCTGGGCCTGCTACAAGCTGCACAGGTTGCCTTCGAGTTTCTACACTTCGTATTTAAACTGCTAGGATCATTTCTCTTAGGTGTAATTTCCATTAGGCTGGCTGCAACATTTTAGGGAAACCACAAAACTTAAGTGAACATTAGGTTGAGTCATTGGTCAGATTGGTGTATTGGTGATAATTTTCACACACAAAGGTCCCACTATAAAAAGGCTTGTGGTCTTTAGTGCTAGCATGCCTACCTTGTGTTTACACCACATTTAACACTGAATTCACAAAGCTCTGGTAGGACCACACACACGTCCATTAATTACCAAACACCTATCCGTGACCATCCTTCTGTAATTAAAAGTGAACAGACTTCATCACACGTGCACAGATTTCAAGCTCCCACTTTGAGGTCCAGACAGAAGAGAATGCTGTTCTAATTAACGGACGGGAAGGGGCTCTCTTATTGGCACACGCAATCTAGAGTTGTGGCAGAGCCGAGGGTTCATGTACCGTTTGCCTGATAAGCTCGCACATTTAATAAGCTGTTTTTCACTTAGCTAAATATTAACTCTTGATGAAAGCAGTAACCTAATGTTTGCTTTCACATACTCATTATCCTTTTTAATAACATGTTCTAATTCAATCATCCAAAGACTACAAGCTTTAATCTGCTCTTCCCTCAAGGCGTAATTGTGGAGTTACAGTCAAATTGATTGTGATTAGATGTGAAGTTGTCCATCACGAGCACACAATGTTCTAAAATCTGTTGCTAAAAAAATCCCAAATGTGCTGGTCAGTAACAAACAGCAGCAGCTGACTTAAAGATATCGGCCAGAGGCAAATTTCCTTTGAATGGCATGAGTAAAGAAGTATTAAAACCTCAGATGAAAAAGGTGTTTGGATTTTGACGTCTGGAATTGTAAGAAAATCTGATGTTTGTGACCGGCGCGGGAAAAACAGAAACTAACTTCCGGTCTAAGCCCTGGGCAGCTGGTGACGTTTCACAAGGAGCTCTGCTGAAACAGCTGTAGTAAACAACGCCTGACTCCGCTGTTTCTGCGTTAGCGTTATAGCAGAGAACATTGTGTCATCAGTCAGATGTAGCTTCTGAAGCCTCTGCTAGTCGGTCAGATTTGTTTTTTCTCTGGGATACGGTGAAAGGAACGGATATTGGATTACCGGAGACGTTCACCCGAACTCCGTGACCTGCAGCTGGATATCAGAACCGGAGGTGCAGACATGCTTTGGACCATTTCACTCAGAAAACCCGTTTGGCCCGATTAGGACACCGGGGAGGATTCTGTTTGTCTTCGGAACCAAAATCAGTACAGTTTGTTAATTATTTCATGTCTGTGCTCTACCGGTAGCGTTCAGTTAAGTTCTCAGCTGACTAGCTCCATCATATAGTCCCAACATAATTCAGTCATCTACAGATGAGTAAATTAACGTGTTGCCAGCTTTACCGCTGTGTGTATTTATTGATATAACATCAGAAAATATTTAACAGATTGCTTACTAGAATAAATCTTCCTGATGCTAACTCGCTAGCTCGATCGTTGTTTTCTAATCCAGGATGACACGGAGGTTCTAACGGTCCTATAGGAGGATCTGTTGTTGAAAATGGGGATCATCTTTTAGATGATATCTCTGTGTGTGTGTGTGTGTGTGTGTGTGTGTGTGTCGTAGCTTTCACAAATTACTTGTTCTTTACCGGAGCTAACACGGCTAGTGCTGCAGCAGTCATGCTGACGGGACTCTGGAGTCCAGAAGTACCGGTGCGGTCCGAAATGGATTTATAGAGGTAGGTTATTATTTTAGATCAAACCTATGTTAGTTAAAAATGCGTGTAGAATACGGACACATGGCTCAGCTGTAAACACAATTTTCTGTTTTAATTATGAACACGATAGTAAACAAAATACAGTGATTTACCATGCTAGCAACAGCAACCACCTAGTCTGATGTGTGTGAGTGACGTATGCAAAACACAGTTCTTCACTGCCTGGAGGAGAGAATTTTGATTTTCTATAATGATTTACGACTAAATTCCTTAACAAAATGAAAAAGTGAATCCAGATCATATTTATATAATTGGTAAAATGTAGTTATACTGTATTTCTACAATTTTAATGCTGAGTCTGGTCACTACCTTTAAAAGCTTTGTGATACATCTTCAAGTACAAGTCCTTCAAGCTCTACAGCAAGTTACAACAGCGCCACTGCTTAGAATGGAACCGTATACACTCCGAAGCTTCACACCCACTCGCCAGCTCTGCTCTGTGACTACCTGTGCAGCCAAACTCTCATCCCTCTGAGTCGCCTTGCTAGTTCTACTCGTATTAGGCGTGTTTCCACTGTCAGAGCTTCAGTCCTATCAGCTGTAGTCTCCAAACAAATTCAACCTTTTCAGAACTTTGAAGACGTCAGCATATCGAGGACTGCATCTGCAGTGAGTGACGTCACTGATCAGCGCCAAAAAGCATCCAAAGTAACGTTGAAAGATTTATTATGTTAAAGTACGTCTATTGAATCCACTGGAAGGACTTGGAGAGAGGCGATAGGAAGAAAGCATGAGTTACGTCGTCATGGGGGGATTTCTGCCGCGGCTTTTGGAGTTGGGAATTTAACAGCGATTTTAAAACTGTGCAATTGGTGTTTATTCGCTTGTGCTTCCATTCTGCTTCACAAGCAACTCTTAATTTTAATCAATTGCCAGTTGTTTGACACCATCTGCTGATGTCATTTCCTACTGAATTACAACGAGTCAACGTGAGGTAACCAAAAGTTCCGCTAGCTACTCCACCGCGTCTTTATGCGTGCACACTCCTGTTCAGGTACTCTGAAAGTGGCTCGGCAAACGGCCCAGTTTAGTGGAGACACACGCAGGCCGGAAAGTTCCCGTAAAATCACCTTGATAGTGGATAGTGTTTCCGATAGTGGAAACACGTCTTCTGATAAAATCAAGGCCAGCTTAGCCCACAGATAAACTATTTACAGCATCTGTTTCAAAATTACAAAAAAAACATGTTAACGACTTTAGTTACCATACCGTTTTTATTTCTAAAGCATGTTAAGAGCGTGAGAGCTGTACAATCAAACAGGCTTAAGATACAGCTAAGAAAACAAATTAAAACAATAAAAATGAGCCATCACTGGCCAAAGGCCAAATCATAGAGTGCCTTCAATAGTGACTTGAACGAGTGAGGGCATCCCAAAGTGTGGGGGCCCTCTCCCCCAACGATTTGTACACCCTGGTGGGTGTGCGGAGTAACAGGAGCTCAGGAGGCCTCAGGGTGCGCTCTGGTGCGTAGGGGGTGATCAGGTCTGACAAATAAACCCAAGAATGACCATATAAGGCTTTAAAGAGACATGTCGGGACCTTGAACCTCACCCGAAAGTGAACTGGGAGCCAGTTTATTTGAGCCAGGTCAGCACAGACGGGGTGTCATCGGTTACTGTTTGTTAAAGTCCTGGCAGCTGATTATGTTAGACATTTTTAACTAAATCCTCCATGTCGAGAGGAGCCAGTTGAGGTGGCTCAGGCATCTGGTCAGGATACCTCCTGGACGCCTCCCTGGTGAGGTTTTCCAGGCTCGTCCAACTGAGAGAAGACCCAAGGTAAGACCCAGGACATGTTGGAGGGACTGTGTCTCCTGACTGGCCAGGGAACTCCTTGGGATTCCCGGGGAGGAGCTGACCCAAGTAGCAGGGGGGAGGGAAGTCTGGGCCTCCCTGCTTAGGCTGCTGCCCCCGCGACCAGACTCCGGATAAGCGGCTGAAAATGGATGTTTGTAAAATTCGATAATACTGCACAGCTCTGACGGTCTCCACCTCTCTGGTTGGATAGTTATAGACTGAAACTCTGTTAGTTTCATTTACACATTCAGTTATTGCTAATTGCTGCTTAGCTAATTGGATGTAACATGAATACTGACTTGATGTGAATAATGAGACTGAAACAAGTACGACAAGGTTAAAAATCTACAAAAACAAAGTTGCTGAACTTTCAGTTTAGAATAAAAAAGCTCTTCTTTGCCCTCCGTATGTGAATTTGGCTAGCTGTCAAAATACCTTTCAGCTCCTTGCTGTTTATCTAAACTAATTCCAAGCATGTCTTATAATTCCACTAAGTAATTTAAGAACGAATGAAAAAATACATTTTTTTTAGTTGAACTTGTTTCAGGAAGACAGGTGAGTGCACACGGCAAGGTCAGAGCGCGCTTATCCACTCAAGACATTTTTTATGATGCACAAAGCTGTTTTTGCTGCAGCTAGACTGAAGATTATAAGTAATATATCAGAGGAAATTTTATTGCATTCCTTCTTTAATGCCAAATTTTAACAGTAAAGTATTGGAGGAGAGATGAGATGCATATAAAATGTTGCAGGGCACAAAGTAAGATGAGAGAAATGGAGTGCCAAGATCGGGTGGAGGTTTGAGTTTCATATCCGGTTTTCCTCTAAGGTGGAAGAGAATAACTAAAGTTGAGTTTAAACGAAATAAATGTAAAAGCCAG